ACTTCTAAAGTTAGGATGGATGGTAACAAATAGAGTCAATGTTAACTTCAGTTGGTTTAAAACCGGAAAAATGACTTCTTACCCTCATCATTGGAACATTTTTCTGTCAAAAATTTAAAATTTCAACCTGGAAACCTGAAAGAAATTCAACTTCATGTCAATATTTTTCCTCCTAATACACCGCCGTCAGCGTGACTGGGAGTCAAAGCTGCACAAAGACCGTAAGACTGGTACTGATGCAGGATCCAGACTGCTCCGTGTCCCGAGGACAACCTCACCGCGCCGGCTTGTTAACAATCTTAGCTCCGAGGCAAGTACAAAGTACTAAATGTTTAGGCGTTATCTCAAACACTTCCCCAATCTGACCGGTTTAAAGGACACGGAGAGAGAGGAGCGAGGGGGTTCAAATTAAAATTAAAAAAGACAAAGAACGCTGGTGAACAAGAGCTGAAAAACGATCGTAGCTGCTCGGATTGATGAAACATTATTCAGGTTTGGTGACAGGCAGCGAGACACAAATTCTTTGCCCTCAGGCTAGGAGGTGTAATTTCCCCTTCCTCTGTCACCAGAAGCATGTAAAAAATTATCTGCAGCTCCGCGATTGACTGCGAGCGAGTAATCTGAAGCAGCAATCTGTGCATTTATCCATCCATCTATCTATAGAAACACAAGCATGCAGCTCAGTTGTAATACACGGTAGGATGCGGATGGAAATGCTGGCCTCACAGGAGTCTCACACACACAAACACACACACAAACACAAGAAACCAACTGCTGTGGGGCTGACGCAAGACTATCTCTGTCTCACGTGTCTCTCCCCTATGGCCGCCCGCTGCTCCTGACCTTCGAGATGTTTTTCTCTCTCCTTCTCCTTTTATTTCTCTCTATTTCACACCCTCATTCGCACACGCACACACACACACACACACACACACACACAAACACTCTCCTCCCAGCCGCTCGGTGTTTAGTCATTAAAGAACGTTGCATTTCCAGCTCGGATCAAGCAGATGGGACAGTCGCTCCGTGCACACATACTGCAGCTTCTTTTCTTTAAATGCACGTGCACACGCTCAACCATTCCTGGTAGCGCAGGATCATCCCGGTTCTGGGCAGTGGCTTTGTGAGGGTACCGTGTGCCTTAACTGACCCAGAACAAGAACGTCAAACAGCAGGAAAGGCAGGGCCGTATATGACCGGGCTGAGACGGCGCAGGACAGAAAACTGTGTCTGAATGAGTTTATTCAACTTTTAAATATTTTTAAGAAGCTATAAAACTTTTGAGTACATCTTGGATAAATGAACACGTCGAGGCACGTTTGACTTTGCAAACGATGCATGTGGCGTTGGGTTACAAATGCGTGCAAGTTCTCACACGGCGGACACAAAGAAATTAAAAAAGGTGGGAATTCACAACGAACTACAGCTGGAGAGCTCTGAAAGTAAACAGACTGGGTTGGAGACGTCCGCCCCGACTCGCCGACTGTTGAGGACTAGTTAGAAACACATATTTATGATAAAATACTCATTGTTGTACATGACATCAAACCAAACATGTTACACAAACTCCAGGCAACATTTTGGTCCATAATTCACTGAGGGTACTCTTGAACTCTGAAATGATCAAATCTGAATTCAGAAAGGTTTGAGACCGAGTTGAGGCCATTCGAGATGCCTGCGAGGACTCTGTGACTGTTTGGGATAATTGGAGACACAAAACTGTGAGAAATTACTTGGGATCACACCGAATGAAAACTTTACACAAACTCCCAACAAAGTTTTTGCCAAAATTTACCAGTGGTTTACAAACCATCAAAAAAAGTACATTGATAAATTACTAAATTAAAACCGGTTCAAGAAAATCAAAACAACTACGGAAACAGAAAACTGCTAAAATATCACATGCTAGTGCAAAACACTGCAAGAATTTTGACTTAAATTCCTCGAGTGTCGTGTAGAAACAAACAAACAAACAAAAAAAACACCTCTGGCGTTCAAGAATAACAGACACTAAAATAGCAGAGGCGACAAAATAATGTGCAAAATTAAGAGCAGGGTTCTGGAGGCCGTGTGAAAAATTAGGTCGTGATTTTCCAAAACTGAACGCTCAAGACGCGGCCGCACGGCTCGCTGGTCGCAAATTCTTCAAATCCAGCTAAACTGCAATAAATAAAAAAAATCTGCTTATTCTCAAAGTTTGGAGTCGCAGCTGTCGGTGAGATAGCAGCTTTAGTAAAAGAAAAGCCTTTGGGTTCCAAAACACCGACAATAACCGCTCACGTAAAGTTCAATGGGTTCATAACACACGAACGTGTTACATCTCTGTGCCGTCAGACAAATTTCTATTTCTTTTCCTCTCCAACATTTGCATATTCCTTTGGGTGTTTGAAGTCGAGCAGCTCTTTTTTTTCCCCTTCTCTTGTCTTCCAAGCAACAAATGTCAGCTAATTACACCATGGCTGTTTGGATGAGCTCCATCTCCCCCCCCCTCGTGCGCTCTGCTGTTGCTTGTTCTCCGTGGGGCTGAAGGAGTCGGGCAGCCGAGGCAGCAGTTAGGAACAGCCAGCTGTGGGGGTTGAGCTTCAAGGATACGCCCGGCTCCAAATTGATTCCCCCAGAGAGGATTCATCAATACTTATCACAACTGATACAACCAGCCCCCACACCGACCGGAGGGGGGATATAATGCATCATTTATCGCCAGAGATGAAGCAGTAATGTTGCACCTGATAGAATCAGGAGGAAAAAAATTGGGTCGCACTTGAAACAGGTATTTCCTTCAGCTCTGCGTTCAGGGCAACAAAAGAAACGTACAAAAGCTCACATTTGATCTGATGACACACTCAACGGCGTCAGGCCTTCAACTGAGGTGTGTGTGTGTGCGCGTGTGTGTGTGTGAGCTGAAGCCTGGAGGATGACGCTGCACTCCGGAGTACAGCTCCCTCCCAAAAACGGAGCGTGAAAACAGAGAAGAAAAACAAAAATTTAACTAAATGAAGATTTAAACCCCGGTACTCCTCGAAGGAATCCCGTCCTGCCCGAGGCTGAGCCGAGACGGCCTCACGCTGAGGAAGGACAGGATGCGAGTCATGCCATGAACATGAGGTCAGGCCCGAGCTCATGGGATATCATGATACCGCACTCTGAGTATATGTTGGGGATGACTCTCAGCTACTTCTATGCCAAATCTCAGCTCAGCTTCTGTAAAATTAATTGAGGAATTCAACGCTGATTCTAATAGTTATCAGTAAAAGTTTAAGCTCAGGTTTTGACCCATCCGTTAGACCCTAGACGTGGGCAATACGTGGCCCGAGGGCCAAAAGTGGCCCTTGGACAATCTCCTTCCGGCCCCCAATATTCTTAATTGAAAAGAAAACAACTTTTAAATACATTGATTTAAAAAAAAAAAACAGCATTTTATCAAAGAAACTTAAGGAAGATTAATTTAACATCTTAGACAAATACATCCCGTGACCCAAAAATGGAATAAGCGGGTAAAGATAATGGATGGATGGATGGATGGATGGATGGATGGATGGATGGATGGATG